ACTAATTGAGGTCATATCAACTAAAGTTATATACTAGTCAGTGCTTCTTTTCGATGGTGAAAAAATATTCAACTTTTAGAAATAAAAAGTTTCTCTTAGTTCAGAAAAGGAACAGGATTGTTCTCTGTGTAAATAAATGCTGTCATGACCAGTTTTTCAAGTCATTAAACTCTATCGCTGTCTGCTACTATATACATGTATATACAGAAGCTGAAAAACTCTCTAATAGTATACTTGATTACAAGGCTTTTTACACAATAACAAGAGCTGTCAGTAGGACAGCAACGCTCGACTATTCTTAGTGCTTGATAGTAAAACTAGAACTCCGCGAGTCGGATGTGTCGCCTTGTGAACAATGTAGCTTAGGAGAAATAGCCAGGACAAAAATGAAATATGAAAAATAACAAAGGGCAATAACTAAAAAATAATAAGTGCAGAGCAGCAGTTTCTGTGCACTGCACTTCTTATCAATAAGATCTATCATTCTATGATGTTTCAAGTCCATATGATGTTTCAAGTCCATAGCTTTCATACTTGAGGAGAAATGACCAGGACAAAAATAAAGTAAGAAAACAAAGGGCAATAACTCAAACAAGAGCTGTCCGTAAGACAGCGCGCTCGACTTTTTTATTGCTTGCCAATAAAAAAAGTTTTTGCAGTAAAAGGCAATACAAGAATCTCTGTATTTTTAAAGTGAACTAGTTGTTTGATACCCTTGAATATTACAGCAATGTTTATATGACATAATTTATGGTAAAGTGAACAAGTGGATAGGAATGAATTTTTTTAGATTTTTTAAGTTTTTTAGTGCTTGCCTATAATACAAAACATTGACAGTTAAGGGCCATAATTCAAATAAAATCTTTGACAGAATTACCTTCTCCTGGACATGTTTGGGAATCATGATTGTAAACAAGTATTCCAACTTTCAAATTAATATCTCAAACAGTTCAGTCAAAAAGTGGACTGGTACTAAAAACTTAACCAAGATTCTAAGTCGATAAAAGGCCTTAATTTTTAAAACAATTCCTTGACAGAGTTACCTTCTCTTGCGTACAGATGGGGGTAATGATGTGAAATAGCATTAAAAGTTTCAAAGCAATATCTCAAAGGGTTAAGGCAATAAGTGGATTTTACCCATATTCAATGTATTTTCTAAGTCAAAAAGGGGCATAATTCTGTCAAAAACCTTGACAGAGTTATGTCCTCTTGTCTGTTGATGAAGGTTGTGATGGTAAACAAGTATGGTCAGTTTCAAAGCAATACCTCCAATGGTTTTGAAATAAAGTGAGGTGGTACAAAAAACTTAACCAAGCTCAATACACTTTCTAAGTCAAAAAAGGGCCATAATTCTGTCAAAAACCTTGACAGAGTTATGTACTCTTGTCTGTAGATGGAGGTTATGATGGTGAACAAGTATGGTAAGTTTCAAAGCCATACTTGTAATACTTCTGAAATAAAGTGGGGTGGTACGAAAAACTTAACCAAGGTGTGACGCCAACGCCGACGCTAACGCCGACGCCGGGGCGAGTAGGATAGCTCCCTTTTTCATAGAAAAGTCGAGCTAAAAATAAGAAATGCAGAGTATCAGTTCTTATGCACTGCACTTTTTCTTAATGAGATCTATCATCCTATGAAGTTTCAAGTCCATAACTTTTATACTTTCGGAGAAATGGCCTGGACAAAAATTAAGTATGAAAATTAACAAAGGGCAATAACTCAAAAATTAAGAAATGCAGAGTACCGATTCTTGTGCACTGCACTTCTTCTTAATGAGATCTATCATCCTATGAAGTTTCAAGTCCATAGCTTTTATACTTAAGGAGAAATGGCCCGGACAAAATTAAAGTATGAAGATAAACAAAGGGCAATAACTTAAAAAATAAGAAATGCAGAGTACCTGTTCTTGTGCACTGCACTTCTTCTTAATGAGACCTATCATCCTATGAAGTTTCAAGTCCATGGCTTTTATACATTAGGAGAAATGGCCCGGACAAAAATAAAGTATGAAAATTAACAAAGGGCAATAACTCAAAAATTAGGAAGTGCAGAGTACCGGTTCTTGTGCACTGCACTTCTTCTTAATGAGATCTATCATCCTATGAAGTTTCAAGTCCATAGCTTTTTTAGTTGAAGAGAAATGGCCCGGACAAAATTAAAGTATGAAAATTAACAAAGGGCAATAACTCAAAAAATAAGAACTGCAGAGTACCGGTCCTTGTGCACTGCACTTCTTCTTAATGAGACCTATCATCCTATGAAGTTTCAAGTCCATGGCTTTTATACATTAGGAGAAATGGCCCGGACAAAAATAAAGTATGAAAATTAACAAAGGGCAATAACTCAAAAATTAGGAAGTGCAGAGTACCGGTTCTTGTGCACTGCACTTCTTCTTAATGAGATCTATCATCCTATGAAGTTTCAAGTCCATAGCTTTTTTAGTTGAAGAGAAATGGCCCGGACAAAATTAAAGTATGAAAATTAACAAAGGGCAATAACTCAAAAAATAAGAACTGCAGAGTACCGGTCCTTGTGCACTGCACTTCGGGTTATTGAAAGAAGCATGCATACCAAGTTTGAAGTCAATCAGACTTATAGTGACTAAGTTATGCTCCGGACAAGCTTTAGGGGACGCCGACAACGCAGCCGCCGACAACGATGCCGCCGACAAAAGTAACCCCTATATGTCACCTTTTCAAGGCGACACAAAAAGCCTTGATTAAAAGGTAAAATTTTCTCAGTGAAGAAAAAGGCAAAATTTTTCTTTAAATCCATATTACAGTTATAGGCATTGGAGAGAGTCCTATTATGCGGTACAAGTCAACCCGGCCCCAAGTCAACCCGGCCCCAAGTCAGCCCGTCCCCAAATTGGTCAACCCGGCCCCAAACCAATGTTATTTCTGGTCAACCCGGCCCCATTTTTTTATTATTTATTTTGCTTTAAAATATAAACACTTATATTTTACAAAGTAATTATTTTTTATTATTTTTTCTTGATACGATGTTTTATAATAATAAAATGATTTTACATGCAAAATATCGTTAAATTTTGTCCATAAATAAAAAAGTTATAAGTTATATTCGAATTACGTTCTATAAAAGTCATATCCGTAGCGAACAGAAGATACCGAATATGACTTATATTTTATAAATTGATTATTTTTTTATTAACTTTTCTTGATTAATAATAAAATGATTTTATATGCAATATATCGTTAAACTTGGTTTATAAATAAAAAAGTTATAAGTTATATTTGTTTTTGTTTTTTTTTATATATAAAATCATATCCGTGAAGAACAGAAGATATCAAATATCATTATATGACTGATATTTTATAAAGTAAGTGGGTTTTTTTTTGTCTGGATTATAGTGAAATAACATGCAAATAATCGTTAAATTTGGTACAATTAATAATAAATCATTTTTATTCCATCATACAACAAGATGACTTAAATAATTTTCTTTGAAAATATATTTTTTGGGGCCGGAATGACCGATTTTGGGGCCGCATTGACCAATTTTGGGGCCGCTTTGACCAAATAAAAATACTGTGGGGCCGGATTGACCAATTTTGGGGCCGGGTTGACCAATTTTGAGGCCGGGTTGACTTGGGGCCGGGTTAACTTGGGGCCGGGTTGACTGTAATTCCTATTATGCTGTCAAAGAAGAGTATAAAATTTCAACATGTTTCAAAGCCATATGAACTTTGAAAATATTTGAGGTATTACAAAAACTTAATTTGTCAAAAAAGGGGCATAATTCTGTCAAAATGCTTGATAGAGTTACCTCCTCTTGTCTACAGGTTGGGGTCATGATGGTGAACAAGTGTGCAAAGTTTCAAAGCCATATGTCAATGGACTTTGAAAATATTTGAGGTATTACAAAAACTTTAACGTAAATTCTAAGTCGAAAAAGGGGCATAATTCTGTCAAAATGCTTGATAGAGTTACCTCCTCCTGTCTACAGGTTGGGGTCATGATGGTGAACAAGTGTGCAAAGTTTCAAAGCCATATGTCAATGGACTTTGAAAATATTTGAGGTATTACAAAAACTTTAACATAAGTGGTTACGCCGACGCAGACGCCGACGCTCGGGTGACTACAATAGCTCTACTTATTCTTATCGAATAGTCGAGCTAAAAAGGCCTATAAAAGTTTCTTTAAAATCAAAAATCCTAATAAAAGGTTTTTACTTGCCCAACTTTACAATTTGAGCAATAACATTTCCCAAAATCAAGAGGCTAAGGCCTCTTCTCAATAAAGAGAGAAAAACCCCTGGGTTACCAATTTGCATACACAAAAAAGCATCTGAGTACATTCTGTAAGCTAGATGGATATCTTCTTCACATGCTAGTCCTTAGTCACTGTCAGGATTCAAACCCACAGCAGTAAGATGCTATTGGTTTGAAGTCAACAACTTTCATCACATGGTCACAGATGCCCTCTTAATAGTGGTGACAAAGACTAGTGCCTGTATAAAGACAGGCTAGCCTGATCATCTATGTTGTCAGGTTCTACACTGTAAACTGCTCAATTTTATTATTTCGATACTAAAATCCCTCAAACTTAATAATAAACAGTTTATCGAGATTTTAAACCATTGCTAATATATGGCAGAAATTCTGTGGATTAACTTAAGTTTATAAACTTTTTGTTACATCTAAGCTCATACTAAGCTGAGGGTTTTTTAAAAGTTAATTGACATTTACAGTTCAATGAATTATAAACATGTAATTTTTAAAATGAGCAGCGCCATGTCAAACCAACATAATGGGTTTTTGACCAGCATGGATCCAGACCAGCCTGCGCATCCGCACAGTCTGATCAGGATCCATGCTGTTCGCTATCAGTCTCTATACTTGTAATAGGGTTGGTAAGCGAACAGCATGGATCCTAATAAGACTGCATGGATGCGCAGGCTGATCTGGATCCATGCTGGTCGCAAACGCATAATGTTGGTTTTGTCGTGACACGGCTCAAATTAGAAATGGGATTCATACATTTAACCAATCACGTATCTTTGCATCTGGTTTCATGTCCTTGTCTGTTGGTCCACTGCGAAGACTACGCGCCAGCTTGTGATGTTTTGCCTCCACTAGGTTCTCTAGTGAGATCTCCGGATCTGGTACAATCACTAAATCACCATGTGTAGTAAATGTATGTGGGTCATCTCCTCCCTGTACATATAAAGAAGAGGATGTGACCAGTGTTTACCACTTACTTCAATATCAATCATAGAATGGACATACAACATGGTCTTGAAGTCATGAACAGTAACATATAAAGCAGAAAATGGAAAGCATACAATGTAGATAATGCTTTTTTTCTAAATCTTGGTCTTTCCTTAACACATCTACTCTTAGTTGCCCTTTTAACAACACAACACTATTTAATAATAAATAGCTTGTATCTTTTACTCCAAAAAAGCATGGATTTTTTCAATCCCATGCTGTTGTTGTTGCTGCTGTTTTTTACTTGTCATGATTTTCCAATGCTTTCTGCTTGACAAGGTATGCTTCTATGTTGTCAAGGCCAAATGGTATCTTAATTGAACTAATTTAGTTTCTTATCAATTTTGAGCATAACCTTCTAATAACAATGCCATTTTTAGGCTTTCTTTTTAACATCAAATTTAGGATACCATCCGCACATAAGCAATAAGGAAAAGGAAAAAAACTCTTCACAAAACAAAAATATTTGCTCCCAGTCTTGTTATATCAGAAGAGACGACTTTTAAATGGTTTTACTTTAGCTATGTAAAAAAGTAATTGTATGAAAAAGGACAGTAGACAATTCTTCATACTTCAAATTTCTAGACCAGAGTTTATCAATATATTGGTTCTCCGTGCCATTATATATAGCTGTCCAGATTAGCTGCCCATTTTCTAAAGTACCATCACTCCTGTATTGTTTTATAAGAATTGGCCAACTAATTTATGAGAATGTTAAAGCAAGAGTAGACAATGCACAATAAGAGGATGACTGATAACATGTCTATATCACCTGAAGAATTCATAATTTATAGTACTTTTCAAAAGGTAAAATAGAACATGATTGCAAAAATTGTGAAATAAATCAAACTGGTGCTAAACTGACTTCACTGTTTGTTCAATAATGTAACAAGAAAATGTTCCTGCCAAGCTTGACATCACAGCAGTAAGAAGGACTGGACAATCCACTTTTATATGAGCTTTACAGTAAAACCAGTCATTCAAAAATGTGAATCATTCCATTAAAATCATAACTGAATAACAAGTTGTTTTTTTAAGACAGCCTACAATTTATCTTACTATCCCAAAAACATGTATTCATGGGGGAGGAACTGTTACTCAAGGATGGAGTTCTTATGACAACCGTCAAAGAGTTCCTGGAAAACATTTCTAATTTTGTCGAAAAACTTTTATATCCTTTCGACGGTCATAGCGTAATAAAACGTACCGAAAAATCAGCTTCTCAAAAGCCGGGCACTATAGTCATAAGAAGGCTATAACATAATAAACCCGTATAAAATTTTGGCTTCCTGAAAGCCACTACTGTTTGTCGTAGGAAGGCCACCAAAATTTAGTTTTAAATGACTAAATTCTTGAAGTTTACCTTTCATTTATTTCAGTCCTTTAAATGTTGTTCAAATAAAAACGCCAAATATGTTAATTGTATCTAGTGCCCTTTATTGACAGATATAGTAAATGTTTAGATATACAGTACACTTTTTAATTAATGTGGTAATCAAATCGATATCCAAATTAATTGAAGAAAATCTTCTAAATGGTATAGTATTTTAAAATGCATTTATTGATACATCAAACGGAGTTTCTGTACATAAGCAATTCTCTTATTTGAAACAAAAATGAGTTGAACTTACAAAATTCACGTTGAAAAGCATAGTATCAATCACCCTTCATGAGAAAAATTGATTTTCATTGATTTTTAATAATTACGTTTTAAAACGTTGAGGACGTTTTACTCAACATGGTATTCTAATGGGCTATATAGGTAAATAACGTAAAATTTACCGTTTTAAAACGTTTAGAACTTGTTTTAAAAAACAAGGATTGTGAGTCTGTTTATTGCAGTTGAACGTAATATTAACAGTGTTATACGGTATGGCTTTGTTGTTTATTTTATGCAGTTGAACATCCATAGCGTAATATTTCGATTTTCATAAACATATTAAAAACACCAGAATGTATGAAAACGAGGTTTTTACGGGGTTGCATGAAACAAAATTCAAGTTTTACGCTACGGATTCTAGAAAGGCATATTTTTGATACGTTTAACTACGCTATGGACGTCTGTCATAATATAAGACTGGCTTTCAGAAATGTAAAAATTTGATATGTTTTCTTACGCTTTGGCCGTCCTACCGGTATAGCGGATGGCCATCGAAAGGGTATATGCTGAAGAAACAATAGTCAAAGATAGTTATTTTCGTCTTTAAAAAGTGAGTTTGAGGTGCTAAATTAAACTTTCATGATTCAGCTTGCCTTACATATTGTATTATGTGTCCTGACTCCTGACACGGTATCATAAGAACTCCATCCTCTGTGTAACAGTTCCTCCCTGTGGTACAATGTTTCAAGTAAATACATTAAGTGGTCAGAAAACATTACTTAAAAGGCAAACCTTAACCAGGTGCTAAACCAATTATGAAACACCAATGCTGATGTAAGAAAACCATACATAGTTAAAAACATCAAACTATATATACCTTTTCAAAATAGATGATTGCATACTCTACTTCACTGAAATGAATGCGTGGGAACTCAATCATAAGGTACATAAAGTTTGAGTCTCGTTTTTGCCTCTCATTCACCATCTCAATTTCTCGGAATGTCAACCTGTCTAACCAGTCCACCTTGACCATGTGACCATCCCTATGTCTCTTACTTAACTGTTAATATGAGAAAAAAAACATTATATTAATTGTATTATTAGGCCATGCCCTTTTAGTGTATGATGTGTCAATCTTGTATTTCTTATTTCTTTCACAATAGTAATAATTTATAATTAAGTATTTGATTTAAACATTTTCTTGGTTGAACAGGTCACTGAGGTGGCCATGATTTGTTGCCCTAATCATTTCCACAGTGCAAGTTTAATTCACAATATTTTCTAATAATCCAATCATTTAGTATTGAAGAAATCTGGTAGAAACATTTAATTTACTTTGATATTTAAAGCAGCACGCCTCCAGATTCATGCTAATTTTCATGAAATTTTTGAAAATGTATTTGAATGTGTTATATTGTGAAGTAACCAAAGGGAAGCAATTTACACATTGTCAATGGCACCTACAAACCACGTAAATTACCAAAAAGTGGTCAAAATATGCATAAATAGCCTTTAATGTGTTAGGAAAGCAGTAGAAATATACTTGTAAATACTGAAAATCAGTCATTAATCGCACATAATTAATATGTAAAATGTTACTTGAATCTTAAAACTTTTTAGTTTCCTTACATCTAAGTACATTTTTCTCAAGTTTGATTTAATTGAAATATTTTGACTCATCTGGAGGCATGTAGCTTTAAGATTATTTTTTTTCTGTAACAAACATCTCATGAGACTTTATAACAAACATGTAAAGAGAAATGGTGTTGACTCTTGAACAGTGACAAATTTAGGGCACAAGGTGATACATCCATGAAAGAATAACATAAAGATGAACGTTGCAGCCTACCTGATCGCTTGATTTCAAGTAGCTTGATGATGTCAGACTCAACAAAAGTTGTTCTTTTGTTTTGCTCCGTTTTAAGTCTTTACATTAATGCTTAACATGTGACTATAGTCATTGTGGTAGTGTTGGTAGTTACCCTCTGGATCAAAGCAGTAAGCCACATTAAATTAACAAGAGCAAAGTTCAGTCACTGCATTGGTCCTGGGCTGGCTGTCAGGCAGTTTACTAGTACTAGTTGCATTCAATTTCCATAACTTATGTACATGCAAGAGCAGACGTACAGTGTGAATGACCTTAGAAAGGACTTCATGATCAATCACAACAAAAGTTGCCTACCCTGTCCGAGAATTGAACAGGCTTGCCCAATTCACAGTTCAAAGCTCTAACTATTGAACTAATCAGACGGCTTTTTGACTTTTGTCATGTGATGACTATCGAGCTTTATTGTTAGGTGAAGACTTCAAGTGCCAATCTATGCATTTTTTCAAGAAGAAGAGTGCACCTATGTTTAACCACCAACTTAATGACCTTCAGTAACCTGCTACATGTAAAATGCTTCCTCACATGAAAGAATCCAAAATCCCTCTTAGATTCAAAACTCATAGCTGAGTGGGACAGATCATCATTTGAAAAAAGTAGCTTTAAACCCTTGACCACAAGACAAAAAAGTATTTTAACAGATTCACAATTCAAAACAAGGGCAAAAATTAAAAATAAATTTTTCAAAAAGCTTTTACAAAACTCATAGCACAGTTCTTTTCAGTGCACAGAAATGAAAGTATGTAAAATTATAACCTTGGCTAATCTGCTCATCTGGTCGCCACTATCTCTAGATTTGCCTGGAGTTGTTGACTGGTTCCCTGGATCTGCTTCTACATCTGGCCACACCTTTAAATCGTGCATACCTTGTCGGAATGTTCTGACAACAAATAAATAAAAGAAAGACCCATGAAGCATGAAGGTGTTTCCCAAAACTACTTAAAACAAGGCAATCAACTAGGAGTAAAGTTTCACAATATTTAGCTTTATTTTTCTTTGAATGTTTGTTGTTGTTTTTTCAATATATAATCAGTTCAATGAAAACAAACGCTTTTCTTGCATATCAGACAGGATTATCTACCGTTTACACCGGTGCTAGAAAACTCTATCCTACACCCCCCATGTAAGACAAGTCGCGTGTTTTAAATGACGTCATTGACGCGAGCCTTTTATGAATGAATTGCGTTCTTAGGATGACGTCACTTAACCGTTATGAATGAAATTGTCAGTTCATACGCTACTATAAGTAAAAAGTGCGTTATAAGAATATCAGTTTTTGTAATTTCTGCTTGAAAATAATTGATATGTTATATGCAAGAAAAAGAATCAAACACCGGCTGTCGGTACAGACAGGAATATCTAGCTCTCGGGTGACTGTTTACAGCGGAAACTCGGCAGAGCCTCGTTACCGCCGTAAACAGTCACCCTCGAGCTAGATATTCCGGTCTGTACTGGCAGCCGGTGTAAGATTCTTATATTCTGCTTTTCTTTAGCTTTCAACGTTTAGTCTTCTTCAGAAAAAATTGACGTTTATAAAATAACAAATGACAAAATAACAAATGACAAAATTATTCTGTTTTTTTTTTAAATAACATCAAACCCGTTTTCAGGGACCTAAACATATTGATAAAAGTAATGCAAGAAGCTTCTTCAGTGTCAAAATCAGAAACTGCACCAGTGTGGATTGTGGAAGCCTAAATGGAATCTTAACTCTGGCTAAACATGAACCATAGACCTCCAGATTCCAGATCATATGATCTAAACCTGCACCACTCTCCTTTTCGTCTATCATACAACTTTATTACATTATACAAAATATCAATCAAGCTGTTGAAAGTAAAATCTTTCAATTAAATACTTAAAATGGTTTAAATTACTTCACAAAAGTAGATTGTTTTACAACCAATGAACTCTTGACTCATCAATGTACCTACCCTATATACAATGGTTGTATAATAATTGTATTATTTGAAAATCTGTCAAAAATCAATATATTTATGTACATGTACTAACAAAATACAATCGACCCAAGTATCAATATTGGACAGTGACAAATGCAGAAGGTAAAGTTTAATCATCAAATATTTCAAATATTTTCTTCATATCATCTGAAGCAACTTACCCTTTCTTCCCAAACATGAATATGGTGGTGCCACCTACTGGAATGACTTTATCGGTGCCATAGATATCCCATACTGTCAAAGACAATACTGCGTCCCTTGGTAAATCTGAGTACTTTATTGGAAGCTGTATCCACTCATTCCAGCTTTAAAATAAAAGCATAAAAACAGTATAGGTCATAATAAGCTCTACCATCTAAAATTGTTTTTTTCATTAGTCCATATTCAGGCTGATTTATGCAGTCTGTGTTAAATCAAATTTATACATTATACTGAAATAATAACAAATTATTGCTTACATATACCAGAATGTGGTTTGCATGAATTGACAATTTTCTAATGGTCCTACCATACCCCAAAGCTCTTCCCAATTTTATAAAAACAAAGTAATGACTACTGATCAAGTGATCATGCCGAGAAATAAAACTAGGCAGGAAAGAGAAATAGCTCATCTTTTTTGTTAAGTTTTATATCTCAACATGATAACTTGATCAGCATTGTAATCATTATTACTATAAATCAATAAATAAACATAGAAAGCATATGAGCCGTGTCATGTCAAAACCAACATAATGGGTTTGCGACCAGCATGGATCCAGACCAGCCTGCGCTTCCGCGCAGTCTGATCAGGATCCATGCTGTTCACTATCAGTTTCTCTACAGCATGGATCCTGATCAGACTGCGTGGATGCGCAGACTGGTCTGGATCCATGCTGGTCGCAAACCCATTATGTTGATTTTGTCATGATGCGGCTCATATCACCAATGGATGCTACCTAATGTTTCTTCAGTGACCCTGACCCAATCAATCTGAAACCTAAACAAAGAGAAGCAGACATTTTTAAGCTGTACATATGAGGTACCAAACATCACATATTTCTAGGATACTTATCCAAGAAATTGATTAGGTGTCATGAGAAAGGATGGAAAAGATGGAACAAGGGACCAGAACAAATAATGGAAATGGGACAAGCCAGTAACATAAGATTGTTAGGTTACAAACATGCATGAACAATTTGTTCTTTTTACATTCTAATACTTACTTATATCTGGTACTGAAGGCTTTGTATGATGTCTGACAGGGGAGAGATATCTGCATTCCATTACTATACACCTGACACGACACATACAGATCCGAGCATCCCTCGCAGTAAACACCAGAATAACGTAACATCGGATCATTCAGCAAGTCATTGTAGCTTGGTCTTTCTCGCTCACCTTCTAATGTCCCTCTAATCAAATAAATAATGTTTCAATAATCTGCTTTAATGCTAAGAAAATCTAAGCTGTAATACATTGGGACCAGAATCTGGACACTAGCCATGTATTATTTCTCCATCCAGTCAGGTGCCCACACCATCATTTGGTCTTGATGATCTCTGTGAAAGGGTATTTTTGTCCTTTGAAGTTAACAGTGTAATATGAGAAATATATAACCCCACTGGTGTAAGGTTTTCTCAGACCTTTTGTATTTTTATGGTCTTAACATAATGTTATGGAAATTTATGAATGCATTTTTTTTTACAATAATGTAAATGATTAACTAAGAAATAAAAACACAAAAACAAATTATCATTGAAAACCCTTTTGAATTAGCTTCCTGGACCAACTTTAATCTTACATACTGTTGTACTGTAAGTCTGTATATGTACTTAATTTGCTTAAATAGCAAACTATCAAATCTTAATATTACTGCATATACATGTAGTCTCAAAAATCAATACAGCGTGATCGATCCAAACCTGAAAACTACCGTCCAGTTTCTTTGACAGTTGTTGTATCAAAACTTCTTGAACATATAGTAGTGTCACAAATTATGAATCATGTTACTACTGAGAGCCTGGAGGCGTTTAAATCTTCCATCCAGCTTGTTCCAGTCGTACCATCATATGTTTAAATGGACACCACCTTGTAAAGTGTAAATACATGTTGGTCACCAGACCTTTTAGGGTGTAGTGTGGAACATCAGTTTGTCATGGGACAGTTGTGATACAATTGTGTAATATAGTATTAAAAATTTTATGTCGGAACACGCCACTCTACACCGATGTACAGTCTTCACCTCCTCGATGTTGATGTCTACCTAGTGGATATTGTCGAGTAACCCCGTTGAAGTTGAAGCGTTTTTCCCCCTACTTTGGGAAATGGTGCCAGTACCAAACAAATTTGGAAAAAATGTATAATTGTCTCAAATTGGAAATTTTAAAAGTATTCATGGGAAATCTTTTTATCCAATGAGACATGATAATTATGCATAAAATACACTTTAAAACCATGTTTTATTAACAATAAGATACTCATGGTGTGTTTTTAAACTAGTCTTTTTGAAGACCCTGTCCCCTGTCTGTCAAATATTAATTGCAGTATCATGTAGATATCTTGGAATAAGTTGGAATAGACCAACCAGTCAATCCAGTGCAGCCATCATTCCTTCATTATTTTACTATTACATTCAATATTATTGCTTGTAAATGACTTGACGGCAAACGTGAAACGTCCTGAATCATTTACAATTTTATTGAAACGACTAAAATAAAAAGAATTAAACAACGCAAAACATCCGGTTCGAATAATATTGTGTACAAACAATTTATCAAAGATAAATATCATACAGCAAACTATATTTATATGACACAGCATAAAATTTAAACTTTTGATATCTTACATCTTAATTTCTACGTTTTCTTCTAGCTCACAGCTGTATATGTAATTAAATCGTCCCTCAGACATTTTGCCAAAATCATTTGTTACGAAATTTAGTGCGAATAATTTGCATGAGAATTACACGTTTGTAAAAAGTACTCTTGTTTATGATCGTACGCCACTAAATATTAATTACATGGCTGCTGTTGTATTGTTATACATTAATTTTCATTTATAAAATGGTTTAAAGAAGTTTTCCTTCAGATACATGAATGTCAGTGTAATCTTACAAGACTTTATATCCTGTTGTATGATTACTTTGACATTGAAACCTCTTTATCAAACTCTGGGATGTACTATAACGTATGTTCCAGTCAAACTGTAAAGCTGCACACTGTACACCTCCAGATGAGCAAACTATTTCGATAAAAACAAGTAGAGATTTTGATGCTAAAGCATCAAGTCGCCGGATAGAAAATGACTGTATTATCATAAATATAAGAAAATATCAGTTCATGTATAAAGAAAAGAGGAACAATATGTTGTGTAATTGTTTATTCACAATAAAACATCATATGTAAAGCAAACTTGCTTAGCATTATTGTCAAGAAACTGCTATGATTATTAAATAAGCAAGTATTGTCTGGCAATATTGACCTTAGACTCATTAATTTCCGGGAGGTGTTTCGTTAGTTTACGTAACTTATTATGATTTATGCTAAAGATTTTATTGATAGTATAGATCTCGATATTAAATCAATTAATATTGCTCGATTGCGTACAGGCGGTAAGTAGGACGAAGTTGTGACCTAGTAGGTCAAGTTCGAATCTTTAAAAATCCCTTTTGCAGTTTTCATAAAACTATCTTTTTTTATTATTTCTGTTAAATATATATGAAACATAAGTTGATAAATCGTGTTTCATTTCTAGCATTTTTTTATTTCATAATTTTGATTAATTTTGTAAGGCGAGTGATATTCTTGTAATTCTACTTGTAATTCTATCTTATACATTTACCGTTATACCAGACATCGAAATCCGTTTTGTATAGTTCAGAATCCGATACGCCAAATAATCAACGGTCATCGAATATTTGAAAATATATATGTTTTAATTATTGCATAAAACAATGCAATTCTACCGTAAAAGTGGTATCTGCGTAAATTTTTCTTGCGCTATCGAAAAAATAAATTATTTAGTTGAAATCAATATTCTTGTCATTACATACGATATAGTAAACGTTTAATTGCTTTCCAGTTCGATAAAATATTAACAAAAAGATATTTTATTAGTTTTCTTTATTGTGTATCTAATTCATCCGTCCTACAGTTTTGGTAACCTGCGCGACGGAAATCGACGGAATATAACGAAGACGACGATTACCACTATTTCAATAAATGTGCCTCTTTCGCATAAATCTATTTTGTTTTGTTCAACCTAAACTAAACTTTTGAACGCTAACAGAAAGGGCCACGTTTAACCCTATAAAAAGGTTTTGAAAACTTATTTAATTCTTTGATGTGCAAATTATGAGTACATTGTATACAGACCTTTCTAATGATATAAAATATGAAACTGATTAATGAAAGATAACTTTGTAATTATTTATACATTACATCTAACCAGGGTCTTTCAAATCAGACACTTTCCAACTAATCACAAGTAACCAGCAATCTGTTACTATTAATAGATTCTACAACACTAACATACAACGTGTAGTCACGTGATTCTTACAATAGAACAGGGAGAATCTGTTTATAATTAGATAAAATTATGAAATATAACAGGTCTCATAAGATATAAACAACCAAATAATTTAAATGTGTCATTTCAAATATCATTCATGATTTATCAATCATAAAATAGCAACGCTTGACACTTAGAAAAAAGTAAAAGTATCCCTAAATTCAATGACTGGTCCATAGGGATACGTTATTAATTCATTTTATGAAAATTGTAATGTTGCTTTTTAAGATGTCAATATTTGTATATTTCATTTCATTTAGCAACGGTACTTTATTTTTGATTTTTTAAGATTATGAAACATAATTGTGGTCCATAATTTTTCAGTAATTGATTTGCTTTTATATTCAGATTTTAAGGCCTTCTCCTACCATAAATATAATATTAAACTGTTACAAATATAGTCGCCGGTTTCTACCGGCGACTAATAACCTGAGAAAATGTACATTCTAGTAAAAATTTACATGTTATGTGCGATTAATGACTGAATTTTTCAGTATTTATAACTTTATTTCTACTGCATTACTAACGCAGTCAGGGCTATTTTTGAATCTGGAGGCGTGCTGCTTTAACACAGCAGGTCATATCCACACATTATTTAAAGTGGATTGGTCTACAAAAACGCGTCCACTTATCATTTAATTTTTCCGTGTTGCACGTTCTTTAGCAATTTTATTTATTTTTACAAACCATATCGAAGCATTTTAAGTCATATGTAAACTTAACTAAAAAATAAATAAATCAAGCCGACCATTTTAAAGACAAATTTGAGAAAGATAATGTAAATCATTAGATAACTTTGACATAATTCTAGCTAGCAGAAATACATAAACAATAACTTGGCATGTTACTTGTATTAAGAAATGGTTTAATTTATTCTTAATTTTTATTGCTGATAACAACTGATTATACCCGTGAAAGCCGGCACTTCATACATATACAACTCAATATTATAAAATGCGTGTCAGTAAATGGGAGATAACCCCTATAACAAATGTGCATAGTGCGTACACTGGTTATGCTATCTTGATAATGTTCATGTTAGATTATCATACAAGTACATGTATGTGATTAGGTGAAAGAGCAGCGTTAACTGTTTTCTATCAAATTTTACAATATTGATACACAAAATTTCATAATGCTAAATATAATGCTTGTAATTGTCAATTAAATGTAGTAACTTTATACAATATAATACAATACAATATCTTTATTGCCTCATAGGCCACCAGCCCAAAACAAAACATTTGTTTACATGCATATATGTACAAAACAGTGTAAAAGTGTTATATTAATAGTACAAATATTTAGTCAAATATGTAAATATATGTCATCAAAGTTCACAGAAAAAGCGTTTCAATATAGTTTGCCTGAAAGAGCAATTGCAATTTAACCTTATCTAAAACTAAATGTAAGACAAAAAACGCCAAAATGTAGGTAATCGCAAACATTGAAACATTTTGATTTGACAATAGGCTTAATGTAGAATTCAATCAAATTGCATTAACAATTTGTACATGTTTGCGAACATATATATTATATAAACAAAGTATGAGTTTCCTTCAATTTAAAGAAACCCACACTTGTTTTGGTACGTATTTTGTGAGTTTTATATCACTTAAAAGTAAAATGTTCACATACTATGTTGTGTTATATAAATATGCATAAAATATGAAAGTTGCTAAATTGAACAAGATATCGAGCGATTCCGAGTCAGTATTCATGTGTATGTTAAACTTGTAATTGATGGTGAAATCCAATATTTTCTTAAAATATGAATTACAAAAACAGGTTTAGTACAAAGTGATATTCTGTTTCTATACAATGGTCCACCTGACAGATTTCGCACAGTCTTTCTTCTCTATCAATGCTTCTATATCTTCCTCTTTCAATATCTATCACATGATTTGAAATTCTTACTTTGGCTAAGGCACTTCTAAATTTTCTTATGTTAACAATCTCTAAATAGTTTTCGTGTTTAAAGTTACTGTTACACTGTAGTTTCGAACTATTATGTACATTTGATGACCATTCTTGAAGAAATTGGTCTTTTTATCTTTGAGTAAACGTCTGTATAAAAAACTTTTCATTAGAAACACACTGATTTTGCCATACCTATCCAAAGCTGTTTCTTAAAAGTAAGTTTTTAATTTCGTGGGCCCAGTTGTTTTGACCTTTTTCATCCAAATTAATAAACATAAGTAACATTTTTAACTAGTTTCATTTAGTTACATTTGTAAATACATGTATTTTGTTTATTGGATTACGTACAAGTAATGATTAATTAAACAGCCTGCAGAAAAAAATAACACATACAATGTGACCTCATTACGGGCTTTAAACTTTTTTAGCAAAGTATCTTAAATGAGCGATCAAGTCTTGTTATTTTTTTACTGGGAAACGTGGGGCGTCCGAGGCCGAGTTGTTAAGGTCGTAGACTTCAAACCACTAGCTTGCCCTTCACCGCTGCGGCTTCGAAACATGGACTTTGGATTCTTGCATGTAAGTAACCTAGCTTACGGAACATCTTACGTAGGAGATAAAAAAGCCTAATAATGAGTTTATAACTCCAACGCAGGACTTTATAAGTCCTACGTAGGACTTTACAACTCCTACTCCTACACAGCTCTTCGAAAACTTACTCGACAACAAGCATTTAAGTGTCTAAATATGACTATATCAAAATATCAAAAGGCTTTAAAGATTACATTTTCCATACGAACTAGCTGAACAAAACAGCAATTAATCCTTTTCGGCCGTTTCGAATGATAAAATCCTTATGGGGGAGGGAGGGTGTGAAGTGTCTTGTTCCAGCTCCGGAAAGTTGCGATTTGCGAATCATTATGCATACATAAGTTTAAAATGAATTATATCCTACTTTGAAAAAAGTTGAACCCTATAATCAATAGAACTAAACTTACATAATACAGAATCATCGTTTAATATACAGTGTATGTAGAGAATGACATCTTTAGTTAGTTCAATTTTCGGAACAAGTTGTATTGCTAAAAATAATTCAGAATATTGAGTTCTGGTTATTTCGCTCAAAATCAATAAGAGTATTACCTAAGGCGGCTTGCCACAATTACAATTTGACATATATTGTTTATTTTCCTACATAATATGTTATCCTAAGTTATACTCTAGCATATATGTCCGACGCACTCTGTGCTTTCAGCACTTTGATATGTATCCTAGGAGTTATAAAGTCCTAATTAGGCTTTGTTATCTCCTACGAAGGACGTCTTGACCATTTGCTTGCCTATACTCATGGCCTTTTAATGTATGTAAAACAATTTAATGGCCATTAATGATTCTTTCCTATTCTCAATTATGGTACAGTTTACTTAGAATTGAAAGTAAATTGTAAAAAGTTTTATGTCCAGTTTGTCCACATTACAGTAAGTCACTATTTAAAAAAATCCGATGCAGC